CAAAAGATATGTTTGTATGTGCTCATCCCCGTTGCTATCATAAAATTGGTAGATCACTGGTCATGTATGTTTAGAGAAGTAACGAAAGCTGATTGAAAAATTCGCAAGTCTACGATTAGAAGCCACAGTATTACATTTTTCTAACAAAATTTCGAAAGTTGTAAAATTTGAGTGGTTGTATAGTTTATCATATCCATCTGGCATTTTCATGTCTTCTGCCTGGTAAAATAACTCATCGACACTAATTTTTCTTCCTGAAATATAACTAGCCATAGGCCTGCTTCCATCAAGGGATAATTCATAATTAATATATTTCGTTGAGGCTGTACTGCAAGGAGACTTTATAGGCATTTAATGAGATACGTGTCTACCCTGCCTTATGATATAATTACGTTTTGATATCAGCCTGTGAAGTGGAAACCCAAGCTTGGCAATCAAATATCGTAGGCACAAATTCATATCTTTGTTTAAGTTAACTAAAGAAGAACGATGAATCTACAAGTCAGACTTCAAATCAAAATGCAGTGTAATGAACAGATATAGTAATGCTGTCGAAATCGGAGTAATGTCTCTTACATGATGGAAACACTGAATCAATGTCAGCTCTACGACCGATAACAAAAGTCATGAAGTGATTTCTACTGTCTAAAAGCGACAAGGAAACACAACAATATTTCCCGCCATCTTTACGAAACAAGTAGTGCCTGTGGGATCGGTTGTCAAAGGCATATGATTATTTTCAAATCTGAACTAGAAAAAAACCGTGAACATCTATATTTACAGCTGCAAAATATCTCTTGGCGCTAGTATTGTGTCAACACGTGCATAAAGATTGGTATGAAGTTGTTGACTTGGTTATGAACACAAAATGCTCACTCGACTGAAATGCCTATTCAGTCTCATGAGAAATCTTTCAGAAAGCCCGCGTGCATAATATAAACGTCCATTCGCGTTGTATTAACGTAGCAAAACGCAATGGCCATCCGTGATTTCATGATACCTTTCTGTGAAGGGTCGGTCGTGTATGATATAGATGATGGCGGCGATGAGGAAATGAGATAGGGGTGATATTTGTAACTGTGAACATCAGACGGAACGGTGTCTCCTGGGACATCCTGGACCATTTCCAGAAATGTGTCAGTACAGTAATTGCTATGGGTTTATTAATACTGGATATGTTTAGGGTATAATAGGATAGGAGGTTAACAAAAGAGACCCTTTGAAACAAGATCGTGAGATATGGATAAGCTTCTTATTTAACAGTGTTGGGGCATACGCGAGAATATGTTATTTGATTCGCTTGAGATGAAGTCCATAACATTGTGTATGAACAATAAATTATAGTTGAAAAGAATGTATTACTGGCTCATGTAAGAGCTTGTTGGGAAGCATGATGGTTGATACGTTTCACGTCTAACAAGACAGTTCAGCATGAGAATGCCTCTATTGGCTCACATGACATCAACTAAAAGCTTTAGTTTGAGAACGGCTCTGTGAAATACTCAAAAAGTTGTTGTCCATGTCGTCGCAGGATTCATTATTTACTCACCAACGTCTAGAATACTGATGGAACAATTACAAAGTGTTGATCATAATTTTAACAAATTAACAAACAAAAAAAGGATTGAAATGAGACCCTTGTCCAACTAATCGTATTCCCCCTAGCATGTGATCGTTTACTCAGTTGCTCACCCTATTGATACTAAACACAAAGCAAATAGCTTCAAAATTACATTGACTGACTTAAGACATCTAATTTCACCAGATCTTCCTGGTCGATCTTCTATCGTCCCGCCGTAGTGTGTCACGCAGTACGTTCGGTCTGTCATCGCAACTAAACTTTCTCTCCTTCTCATATCTGTAACACCACCTCACATCAGTGCTTTAGCAGAGAGACGTGTCGGATCAGAAGATCACCCAACACAACCAGAGATAGAGGTCTTTGGGAGTTGCTTGCATGTCAGTAAACTTATCAGCTGAAGAGCTATCGACCAAGGGCATGTTGAACCAGTTTCGACCAACGAAGGAACGACGGAAAAGGGGAATCGAAACCATTGAAAGTCTATCCGTGAGGATAGTACATGTCAATTAGAGGTCCCCCATGTAGTGAGCTATCATGCTGAACGATTTTAAGAGCGTATGGTTTGTGTCCATCATTTATGCAAGGGATGCTTGTGTGGTTGTCATGTCAATGCGATGTTGTCTGTAAATTATTGGAGTTGTTATGCTACAGCTTGTTCAGCTTGACCTGATCAAGTGAATACTAATGAATTGCTTGACCGTGTCACAGCTGTTTGGGTCTATTATTGTGAAGGGGTGCACATTTGTCAGTTGGAGTAAACGAGTCGACTGATTGTTGTGCCCATGTTGAAAATGAAAGTGACTACTGGGACAGAAATATTACAGTTGAACATAAAATAGAAAAAGTGAAATTGAACTGGGTGTAGAGAGTGATAGCGAGAGTGAATCGGATTGTGAACGTCACTGACATCTGTAAGTTGTAAAGGTAGAAAACCAAACTAGATAGCATATGACTGTATAAACAATTCAGTTAAAAGATTAAATGATTTTTTGTTTTTTTCAGAAGGGTTGCACGAACGCAAAATTAATAACATTCTCTGCACCCCTATTTAATGAAGATAACCCGACCTGCCGTTTGTGCCATTTGAGCTCGCGGGTAATGCATATGTAGAGTAGCTCAGGTCAAGCTGAACAAGCTGTAATGATGCGCGAATGTTCTCTGGACAGAAATCAATACATCGTTTCCATAGTAAATGAGACAGCCATGTCCGAATACAATTTTAAATATCTCAACTAAAGACGATTCCATCGTTTATCACATAAGCATGTGTTTGCGGAAAGGATTCTATTTGTTGCCCCACAGGTAGCTCTCGCCGCAAATACGTTCACTTGAATGAAAATGGCACACACCATGTTCCGATATTCCATTTAAATATATAGGCCTCCTCCTTTGTAACAGTGTTGATATTCTATACACTCAATTGTTCGTGAGCAGCCTCCTCCTTTGTAACAGTGTTGATATTCTATACACTCGATTGTTCGTTAGCAGCCTCCTCCTTTGTAGCATTGTTGATAGCCTATACACTCGATTGTTCGTGAGCAGCCTCCTCCTTTGTAGCATTGTTGATAGCCTATACACTCGATTGTTTGTGAGCAGCCTCCTCCTTTGTAGCATTGTTGATAGCCTATACACTCGATTGTTCGTTAGCAGCCTCCTCCTTTGTAGCATTGTTGATAGCCTATACACTCGATTGTTTGTGAGCAGCCTCCTCCTTTGTAGCATTGTTGATAGCCTATACACTCGATTGTTCGTTAGCAGCCTCCTCCTTTGTAGCATTGTTGATATCCTATACACTCGGTTGTTTGTGAGCAGCCTCCTCCTTTGTAGCATTGTTGATAGCCTATACACTCGATTGTTTGTGAGCAGCCTCCTCCTTTGTAACAGTGTTGATAGCCTATACACTCGGTTGTTCGTGAGCAGCCTCCTCCTTTGTAGCATTGTTGATAGCCTATACACTCGATTGTTTGTGAGCAGCCTCCTCCTTTGTAACATTGTTGATAGCCTATACACTCGGTTGTTCGTGAGCAGCCTCCTCCTTTGTAGCATTGTTGATAGCCTATACACTCGGTTGTTCGTGAGCAGCCTCCTCCTTTGTAGCATTGTCGATAGCCTATACACTCGGTTGTTCGTGAGCAGCCTCCTCCTTTGTAGCATTGTTGATATCCTATACACTCGGTTGTTCGTGAGCAGCCTCCTCCTTTGTAGCATTGTTGATAGCCTATACACTCGATTGTTCGTGAGCAGCCTCCTCCTTTGTAGCATTGTTGATATCCTATACACTCGGTTGTTCGTGAGCAGCCTCCTCCTTTGTAGCATTGTTGATATCCTATATACTCGGTTGTTCGTGAGCAGTCTCCTCCTTTGTAGCATTGTTGATATCCTATACACTCGGTTGTTCGTGAGGAGCCTCCTCCTTTGTAGCATTGTTGATATCCTATACACTCGGTTGTTCGTGAGCAGCCTCCTCCTTTGTAGCATTGTTGATATCCTATACACTCGGTTGTTCGTGAGCAGCCTCCTCCTTTGTAGCATTGTTGATAGCCTATACACTCGATTGTTCGTGAGCAGCCTCCTCCTTTGTAGCATTGTTGATATCCTATACACTCGGTTGTTCGTGAGCAGCCTCCTCCTTTGTAGCATTGTTGATATCCTATACACTCGGTTGTTCGTGAGCAGCCTCCTCCTTTGTAGCATTGTTGATAGCCTATACACTCGATTGTTCGTGAGCAGCCGCCTCCTTTGTAGCATTGTTGATAGCCTATACACTCGATTGTTCGTGAGCAGCCTCCTCCTTTGTAGCATTGTTGATAGCCTATACACTCGATTGTTCGTTAGCAGCCTCCTCCTTTGTAGCATTGTTGATAGCCTATACACTCGATTGTTTGTGAGCAGCCTCCTCCTTTGTAGCATTGTTGATATCCTATATACTCGGTTGTTCGTGAGCAGCCTCCTCCTTTGTAGCATTGTTGATATCCTATATACTCGGTTGTTCGTGAGCAGCCTCCTCCTTTGTAGCATTGTTGATATCCTATATACTCGATTGTTCGTGAGCAGCCTCCTCCTTTGTAGCATTGTTGATATCCTATATACTCGGTTGTTCGTGAGCAGCCTCCTCCTTTGTAGCATTGTTGATAGCCTATACACTCGGTTGTTCGTGAGCAGCACGGCATCTACATTCAAACGGGCTACATATATGTCCCCTGCATGACTTTTGTTAAGAAGATACGAATAACTGTTGCGGGCGCGAGGTTATCCATTCATGAGTTTACAGTTACGAGTACAAGTATTATCTCTATATTTCCCTAACTGTCTTCCTTTGCCAAACATAAAGCACATTAGTGTAAGACACTTTGATATGAAACTATTTGGAAGTTTACTACGTCGAGATGTCTTGTGCGAGTGTATCAGCAGCAGTTAGTATGTCGAAGTGTATGCTTACGGGGTTAAAGGAAACAGAGACCCGAACATGGACAAGTATGTACTTCTGTTTCCATACAACCATCATCCAAATATTTTGATGTGTGCATCGTTATAGCAATCACCAAAGAAGTGAATAGATTGGTGAGGTTTATACCCATAATCTTGGGATCCAGTTTGATACCTCTGCTTCGAGGAGAGATTACTGATGGAAATGGTTTTATTACTTTTCATTGAATGCTTTAAAGTGCTTTCAATTTATTACTGTTAACTGAATGTCATGAATGTCATTTTCAAGTGCTTTAAGTTTCTTTATCAATGTTCATGGTACTGCATTATCGACACCACTGTCTCTGAATCAGCACTAAACCATTGTTCAAATTCCTCTGGAGATCACACAAGCTCTGAGCTAGAATGTGTTACATAACTCGCAGCTCGGACACTATTGAAAGGATTAGCTACAGTGGCCAATAGTACATAATTTAATACCTTATGCGAGCCAGAATCGTAGAATCAAATTCACGAATCACCCTGCGTTTCAATACAAGCTTGTGGGGCCTCTTTGTTCCTGGCATGACCTGCGTCAAGTTGGTTTTTCTTGCCTCATTACCCTGAATCTATTCACAGAGAGAGAGAGAGATTTTTATATCAGATCTACATCTATATCGATAGAGCGGCCAGGCAAAGTCCTGCTAATCCGACTTCCATGATGCTAAGAGCATTATTTCAACGTGAACAAAGTCATGACCCGGTTTTCACTCTAAACCTAAAATAACCGAAGAGAGGGCTGAATCAGCGAGCTCTGTTATGAAGTCTTTGTTCGGTCTTTGTTCAGCATCGGATGATTATGGAATTCTATTATTAACACAGAAAACAACAACATTTTCCTTCATTCAGCCATACACATTTACTTGTTGTTCACTCTATTGTGTTCCCTTATCTCTTCCATAAATGGAGTACGGTATACTTATTAGACTTTGGCTGGAGTAATTGGAGAACTTGTCAGTTTTACCATCGTTACTATGGTGACGGCTAGAAGGGTCAGACGGCGTACCCTCCACTGCCATTCAAACTTAACTTGTATTGTCTGTTTACTGTACAATCAGCATTAACACATAAATACACCATTTACAGCGGAATTGGTTTCATTAGTTGTGCCCATGTGAGCACAGAGATTCCATTTTAAGCTCTAGGCAGTAATAACGAACCCCAAGTAAACCAAGTTGTGTGTGGCTTTGTATGTGCAACCAAATATTTCCCAATTCACACAAAAACATTAAGAACCAGAAAATAAATTCTACTTTAATATTCAAGTTTCTCTAACATGGGTACCAGAAAATAATGTATATTCCAATTTTCTTTATCTACTTTAAACCTTCAATTTATTCTCACGTGGATGGCGATATCTTCTTTCATATAATGAATATACCGGAGATTTCAGAATTCAGTTAAAACTTCTCTGCCTTGTCTTCCGCTGTCTGTCTTGGACTGCCCCTACATATTTATCCAGTCTTCTTTCCCTGTACAAGCCTTCTTGTTCACTCCGTTCACAAGATAAAAGTCTTCTTGTTGTCCCTGAAACTAGAACAGTGCAGTATGGAAACAGATCCTTTGCCTATGCAGCACCAGCGGCCTGGACCAAACTTCCACACAATCTCAGGGACAGTACTGACTTTGTCACTTTCATATCCCATTTAAAAACACATTTGTTCAGCCTTTTCAACTATAATTGTGTAATTTGTTACATTCTATGTGCGTTTTGAGCATGGACTGCATGGATACCAGCGCATTACAAATGTATTATAATGATGATGATGATGATGATGATGATATACATCTGCGTTTTGGTCATTTGTTTCCAAGGGTAAAATCATGGTATATGATTAACGCAACACGCTGTGTTCCTGCTCCAGGTTCCAGATAGTAAATATATGTTAGCTGATGCCTGTGTTTACTGTGCAAATGGTGTGGAGGTGTGTGGCTCTGTGCCTCGAGCTCAGATCACAAATCAGTTCCAGTTGTTACATTGGGCGCGGATAGTCCTTGGATGGGTGACCGTTTGGCAGCTTGACTCCTGAGAGTTTATAGAACTGCCCCACAAAGAAAAGCACACGTGACACATGTGGTCTCACCTTAGGCAAGTAAGTTGGTTTCAAAGTTTCCTCTGTTCACCCAGCAGAAAATGATATTTTCAGATATTGATTGAAGCACAGTAAATCACAAAATTTCTGAAAGGACATTTCTTTCGGTCACTGACAGTTATGGTTCAGTGAATGACGATCGATGTACTAAATCGTCCCATTCTCGTTCACACGTCATATATACAAGTTGTTATAGGTAAACTACGTAGTCAAATGAGATTATGTCAAGCATTGAGATACGTTTCTTTGAAGATACATTATGTTGCTCAGGAATTCATAGTGAGGTGAGGTGAGGTGAAATTGGGTTTAACATCGTCCTTGAGAATATTTCGCTCATATGACGACGTGCATGCGTGTGTATGTGTATGTGCGGCTGCTTGTACTAGCCCAGACTGAAGCTGGTTTTATAGTGCTAGCCCACTGAGATACCATGCCGTAGTGAAGCATGAATACCCCGCTCAGACACATTATACTGACTCCGAGCCGACCTGTCCCTGTTGTACCCATTAGTGCCGAGCGCCAGACAGGGACCAACAAGTACCATATTTTATCGTCTTTTGGTATGACGCGGTTGGGGATCGAACCCGCGACCGTCCGCTCTCCGGGCGGACGCTCTAACCACTACACCACGGAGGCGGTCAGGAATTCATAGTAGACAATGGATAACAGATGTATATTATACACTGCTGCCTAGGTACTGCCCCAGTGTGGTTTAATGCAATGTCTAGTCTGATGAGGTTGGTCAATTAACCTTGTCAGTTATTGCTTGTTTGTCCAGAGACCTGGGGCTTGGAAGTCACGTCAGCTTTTGATTTGTGGACAAAGAACTACTAGCATTGCTGCAATTCTAATTAAATTAAAGGAAATATGTTGATAATAAGCTTGCCTATAAGTATGGAGGGCTCTTGGGAGAACAAATTTTTTTTTTTATAAACCATGTCGGTTGATTTTAACCGACCAGCACTTAATTCAATATTTCTAATAGAAAAGCCTTGGTTTGTCTCTCTGTAGCTAATGACCATACCGCCTTCTCGCCTCCTGTGTTGTCATTAGAGAACAGACATATATTGTGTTCTCTGTAGCACTCCTATTACGTTTCAGGCCAACGTCTTCATCGTTGTGGCAGGCTGTAGACATGAAATGTTTCTACTTGCATTAATCACAGGCGCTAGATGTATTTATGAATACAACAAAATCCCAATAATAGTCTGGCTGAATATTACAAGTATCAGAATACGAAGAGGTTCGTACATTCTTTAAGGTATTTCTGTCTCTTTGCCTTGCCTTTATCACGTCTATATCAGAATGCATATTTTCGGTTTTCATTTCATCTTCTACAACATATTCACTCATTCTATCTGACAGAGCTAAAAATAATGAAATGAGTATTCCCATTATGGGTTTCGGGTTTAACGTCTAAATGTCACGGTGTAATGTTTCCGTTAAATGAAGAAAAGTTGTTAGCGCGTAAATACAGGATTCCATTGAACCACACTTGAGGATGTTACTGTTTCTTCCCAATTCAGATTGTACTAACCAGTACTGAATTCTGATTAAATGTGAGTGTGTACATCTGTACAATTTATGGTGAAATATCTGCAAATGTTATTTCCATTCCTTATTACAGCTGTATTGTAATGGAGGGGAATTATCATTTGATTTGAGACTTTCGTAATTGTCCCAACACATTGACACGATCATTATTCAGTCTCCTCTGAATTTCATCCCAAAGATGTTCAACTGGGTTTAAATCAGGACTAAGGGCTGGACACTGCATACTGTTGACACCGTTCCGCTGTAAGAAGTCCCGTGTAGCTCTGGGCCCGGGTGTTATCATCTTGGAAAATGTTGTTCCGGTGACGTGCGAAATGTGGTATGACGTGGGGTCTGAGAGCATGGTCGATGTAGCGCACCGCTGTGATGCCGCCTCCTCCCCCTGGACCAAGGTCCAGGCCTATGCCACCACATACCATGATGCACACACACACACGATTCTCTTTCGATAACACATTGGTCTGAGTAACGCGGGCCACGTCGTCGCCATATTCTTGTTCTGCCATCTGCAGTTAATACGAAGTACCGACTCTCATCTGTGAACAGAACAGTTCTCCATTGCCTGTATCGCCAGGTTTGGTGTTGTAGGGAAAACTGTAGACGTTCACGCCGATGTCGAAGGGTAAGGTCTACGGCAATGGAGGTTCCCGCTGTTAAGACGTCGGCGTACTGTATCAGTACTGATTGGCCTTCCGTGTGTTCCCACTGTCTGGCGTGCTGTTTCGGATGCCTGCACGAAGGGATTCTGTACATGCTGTCGCACAACATGGCGGTCGTATCGTCTTGTGGTCACCCTTGATCTGCCAGTACTTGGGCGATCATTTGTGGTGTTGGTGGCCCGGAAACGTTCCTGCATTGGATGGTCCGAACGTTCACCTGGAAGTGATTGGCAACGGCCTGTGCAGTGTGGCCAGCTTCAAGTCTCCCTAGCACCTGGTTCCTCTGAGCTGTAGTGAGACTGGGCATCCTGCTGACGTTGTAATGTGAATGTTTCAATCAGGTTTTGGGGTGCATTTTATAGGGCTGGTCCTTGTGAACAGCGCGTGCAGCATGAGTTGCATGAAAAATATGGAGAACACTGTACCATCTCCGAGATCAGGTTGCGTGTTTGAGACCATTTCCTGGGTTCCATTCCGTTTGGGAAGGAATGTCTTTGCTCAGGTAAAGTTGGAGATGTTGTCAAAAATATACAATCAAAACATTTAATGAGTTTACAGTTGTCCGTTTCTGCGAAGGAAAAGTCCATGCTGACGTTTCCTTTGCAGCTTCGTATATATCATATAAAATCCCATGGGAAGGGACATGGTTACGACGGTTATAGTGTTCACTCACCATGTCATGTTGAAGACCCGAGTTCGATTCCCAATATGGGTACAATGTGTGAGGCGCATTTCTTTTGTAACTTGCCGTGATATCCCTGGAATGCTTCGAAAGCGGCGTAAAACTACACTCACTCACTCAACATAAAATTTTCTGGGTAGAATATACCAGAATATTTCTTGCTGTACGAGGTCACTGGAGGATAGTGCGGGTGATAATATTCGGTGGTTTGTCTAACCGTATGCCATCGTAGCCTGACGGGGTTTACAATATCATTCACTAGCTTTGTACATATTAAATTAGACGTATACCGTTGTCAGGGACAGCTTTAAACAACAAACAAACAAAACGAATTTGTTTTACACGCAAATACGTAGTCTGAATCATATTACTGCGTATAAACAATATAGATGACTAGGCTTCGTGTTTACGGACATACTCAATGGCCATCGTCTGTATTTCTATGAGATTATGGACACTAAACCATAGCATATCAACTGATTCAGACATCTTTAGAGGACACTGAACCCGATTCCTTTCCATATTTCCACGAAAACATAAGAAACGGATATTTCGTCTACGAAAACGTGAGCATCACCACTGTTAATATGAGACAGTCGTTTCATCTGAAATTGTAATAATAATTGAATTGAAATATTGCAACCAAGCAATTACAATCGTTCCGTGCAGTTAATTGCCTTTCATATGTATATATTGCAATCTTGAAGTCAGAATCATAAGGATTATGTTTTATATGATGTAGGATTGATACAATCAACGTGACTGGGTCACGACCTCCTCACAACCTTACATGCCTCGCGAAATCCCTACACGTCGATTCAACATTGATCGCGTGCCATAAAAGCTGATTATCACAGTCCTCGTCACAACTAGTTTTATATAAGTCGATTGCAGCGATCGGCTACTTTGATTACGAGTTGTGTGAATGTAGCCCTAACAAAATTATTGCAGCGATTTTTATTGTCTGGTGGTAGTCATCTATGAAACGTCTTGGTAAGGATAAATATATTCAACAACTGGAAGCCTAAAAGATGGCATAACATAAAAACGGAGACTGAAATTTAGTTGCAGTTTCGTGAATCTTATCCGATTTTATTGTACATTATAGCATTTATGACTCTATCATGTAAATACTCGACAGTACTACTGCGAAACAGGTTCCTTTGTAGCAAACAACTGTTGTCATTTTATGCGACATAAATCTCTCCGTGGAGAACCATTTCAAATCTTCTCAAGAGATGGTGTTATCTTTGATAGTAAATCCAATCTAAGTACTGTGTGATCGTTTCAAAGATCGTCTACAGACAGATTTCTAGTTTTTAGGCCCAGACAAGTTACAACACGAAATGGTTTTTTTGCTTATCTGGTTACCAAAACATTACAAAGTTTCACCCTTAAAACAATCCATCTTTGATATAATCAAATACCGTGCTAACATAAAAATAGTGAGAACACTAAAACTCATCAAAGTCAGAACGGAGGCTCAGATGTTCTTTACGCTTTCTTTTGATGTATTTACAGAAATATTTA